TCTTTCCAGCTACTTTCCCAGGACTCCCCTCCAAAGACCCGCTTCCCAATTGACCTTTATCTCCCTGTCTGCACACTTACATTCTGAGGGTTCTTTTTCCTGAAGCCTTGTTCCCCCAATCCCACCAGTGGGAAGCCTATGCATCTTCCAAGAGCCAGCTCACCTTCCTCCTCCTCCAGGAAGCCTTTGCATGCAATGTGGGGGCCTTGCCCTTGCGTTCTCCATGCTGTTGCTCTGGCCTCCTCCCCTTCCTGCTGGGTATTACCATGAGCCGCAGCCTGTCCATACTCCTGCTAACCTGAGCCACCCTCGGCGTCAGGACTGCTTTATTGCTCCTCTCTACATGACTGGCTGTGCCAGGCACACCTCTGCTGCTCCAGAAAGGTTAGGAGTGAACCAGCATGCCTCTGTACCTGCCTGCAAACTAAAAAATCGGAAGTAAACCCTAGTTTCGGAGAGTCAGCTCATCTGGCCCCTGGAGACGAGTGTGGCATACAATGACATAAGTAGCTCCCACCTGCCTCGCTCTCAGCCCTTCAACAGCTGCCTCTCCCTCAAGATCCCGCTCCATAATGCAGTCCAACTGCAACCCCACCACCTGCAGCTGCTGCCCAGCCCCCCACATCCAGCCCCATCCCAGGCCCCACCAAGACCACTCCTCCCAGCCATGAAAAGGAACCTCATAGGACTGTGTGCATGGGGAACAGAAAAATGATGCATTGCTACAAACAGGAAGGCCTTCATGACCCACACACCAGTTCAACTGGTTTTTATCCTTAAAACAGTGAGTTGGTCAAATTTCTTGCTCCCAAAGACAAAGACAGCTCAGGTGTATAATCAGAAGCCTGTCTAGCACACCAGCCCTGAGACCTCATTCTCTGGGAAACCAGCTGACCCACTGCCTGTGACACCCAGAGTCCACGTACCCCCAAAGGTTGCTCCTCCACTCACGCCCAGCACGTGACCTGATCCTGACAGTGCTCCCACTCCTAGCAGGGCCAAGGGCAGCAAGTGAGGTAGGAGGGCGAGGTCTCTGTCACAGCCACATGTCCTCCCAGTGGTACATCTTCCCAGAAAAGAACGCAGGAGTCACGGAAAGTCGAAGGAGAGGAATTACCTGAAACTCGACGTCCCTCCCCAAGCCAGTAGTGATCCCACAGCCCAAAGCAGCAATCCAAGTTTTATTTGCTCATAAACATTAATGGGACCGAACCTCAGGGAAAGGAACAGGAAAAGCCAAATGCCAGGGAGTGTGATCGGCCCCATAAAACGTGGGCTCGGAGCAGGAGGGGAAAGACCAGAGCTCTGGGGAACGGGCTCTCAGACTCTGCTTTTCTTGAGAAAGAAGAAAATAAAAGTAAGAGGCAAGCTTGGGCCGGCCCCATAGCCAAATGGTCAAGGGACCTAGATCCCACATGGCTGCCCACAGTTTGAGACTCAGCCCTGGCTACTCAAAAATACACTAGGCCCATGTGCATGCATGCCTCAGATCCCGGCAGGACGGGGAAAAGGAGGGGAAGGGATTGCCGTATGACCGTGCTGCATTGTGGGGTGCTTTCTCCCTCTGTCTCTCTTTGGCAAGTGTACCCACACCTGAAGATTAAAGTGAGAGAGAGATGCTCTTAGTGGCCAGCCTCTGCCACAGAGCAGTGATGACCATAGTCTCCATCAGCTCTTCCTCCCCCGAGACCTTCAGAGGGGCCACTCTCACGGGGGGTGGGGGGGGGGGAGCAGGACATCCTAATGGAGAATGGAGAGACACCAGTCCCACTATCCGCCATGGCAGTGACAACCAAACTTAGGTTTGCCCGGCAACTGCTCTCGGTCTCTGCTCTGCTATCCTAACCGGGTTCGCCTCTGCCTCCCGCCCGCAGGGTTCAGGGCTGGTGCAGCACCACGTGCTGGTTGAGCGCACAATGAACAGGCACTGCAATGAACAGGCACTGCGCTCAGCTCCCGTGTGCTCTAATTCATGTGATCCTCACGACGACCCTGTGAGATAGACACGACGCCTCCACTTTGCAGATTAGACGCCTGAGCCTCAGAGAGCCCGCACCCCTGGCTCGAGGCCCCACGACTTGAACGTGGCCGGACTACAACCCCAGCCTATGTTGGGAGGCCCTGCTTGCTAGGCTGTGAGCTCCCTGATAGTCCACAGAGGGTCAGGCCCAGGACTAGCACACAGTAGCTGTGGAAGCGAAGCCCGCCGAACAGAGATGACGCCCACTCCCTGGGCTCGCAGGTCTCAGCAGTGGCCCCTCACACCAGCCAGGCCTCTTCTCTTGGCTCTGTGAGGAGGGGACCCTCTGATTAGGAGGAGATTAGTAGAACCCAGAGGCCACCTCTGGCCCCTCCAGCTCTGCATGGAGGTTTGAGCTCACAGGGAGGAAAAGAAAGCCTATTTCCTTTCCTGATTTCCTCTCTCATTTGAATATTGGGTTCCCACGTGGCACTGGATTTGCAGAAGCCCAGCTCCCTGGAGGAATTCTCGAGAAGCCATCTGCTTATGCGCGTCTGCAACATCTTGGCAAATGGAGAGTTAGGGTGCTAATCAATCATCCAAGGGGGAGCTGCTGGCCTTCCCTGGGAGGGGACTGCGCATGCACTCCTGAACAGGGGCCTCACCGCCAGGGCGCATGAGTGTAGCCTCTGAAGAGGCTCTGGGTACACTGGGGTCACCCCCAACTTGGGTCACGTCAGATCCATCTAAGCCAGAAGCCAGGGCAGTGACAAGGCCAGGACAGAGGGCCAGGCACAGCCTTGGGGGAGCTCACACTTCAGGTCAGATATATCAGGGACCACCACTGTCTTTGCCCAAAGCAGACTCTATCCCAGATACAGAGAGGACTGCAGACCCCACCGCAAGGACACCACCAGGGTCAAGTCATGGGCTACGTCCAGGGGGTCAGCTGAAGCTCAGCCTGAAGTGCAGCTGGTCAGTGCCATGCCGATCCTTGCTGGTGGTCACTCCAGCTCAAGTGCCGTCTTTGTGGGCGGGAAAGCCTGGCCGCTGTGTGAGCAGGCCATGTTCAGGTGGGACCCGAAAGTACAGCCTTGGGAGGGCCCTGGGTCCAATTTTCCAGAGCAGCACTGGGAACAAGTGTGTGAACAGACAAACCGGCTTCTGAGCAGAATCCTATTAAATAATCCTGACAAGCCCCAAAGAGCATCTGGTCAGCCCCTGGTATTTTAGTAAAGAAACCCAAGGCCTGACAGTGGCAAGTACTTGTCCAGGGACACACTTAACAAGAGTCTCAATCCAGATCTTCGAATAATCACCAGAATCACCAGAATCACGTCCTCCCAGGCTTCCCAACTCGCAGGAAAAAGACAGAAGATCGCCACGCCTGCGCTATTCCTGGCCCCTCTCAAGGACGCCCCACCTCTGAGCAGGTATCTCCTTCTTCTCCTGGTCCTTCAGCTCCTCTCTCCGAGCTCTGGGGGCTGTTTCTGCGACATGTCAGGCTGCCCCTGATGCCTTGACCAAAAGGTTTTCAAACCAGAAGAATGTCCTTTAATATTTCATCACTATATGCAAAACGAGGCAGTAGAACAGCTCCAGGCCTGAGCTGCTGCAGAGAAGGGAGTGGACAGATGTTATGTTTCTGCCCAGAGCTTCCAGGCCCCAGATGAGCTTCGTCTGGCCTCGGGGGTGAATGTTCAGGCTAACTATATGGCCAAATGCCCCAAGCTGAAACAGGACACAATTGGTCTGCAGATTCAGCCCCATGAAGAGATCACCCCATGAACAGATGCACCTGTACTTGGCCCAAGGCTCAGGAGAGGCCACAGCAGGCCAGATGATAAACAC